TGAATCCCCGCCCCCCCCCCCTGGACTTGCTGATCTATTATTTTTGTGATTTTTGTTTCCACCCCACCCCTCCCTGGGTTGCTCTAAGCCATGCAGCTCTCATGTGGCTATACCTGGCCAGTTACGGGATATCTTGGCATTTGTTATGCATTTGGAAAGTACTTTTTTTACGAAGTTTGTCAGATAGCTACATTTTTTTCTTAAGTGCATACGTTTCCTACTTTAAAAAGATACAGATTTGCTGACAGATAGCCATTTCCTATGTACTTGTTTATATTTTGATTATATAGAAGTTTCTTTTTTAACTTGCTGCATTGTGCTGGTATTTTAGTTCTTAGTTAGAATATCATGTTTAGAAACTTTGGATGAGTTCATAAGTCTTAATTGTGCAAGCGTTTACGTGATTGTGCCATTCCAAAGTGCATCAAAACTGTCATTCCCTTACTAGTATCTTCTCAGGAGAAATGCTACAGATCAGGTATTTAGTCATCATTTTGAAAAATAAAAACAAATGGACTCCCAAAGGACATTTAGAACATTTATATATAAAATATATAAATATATATATAACACACACACTATATATATCAAAAAATATCCTCTTGTTTACAACAGTTCCAGAAAACCTCAAAATAGTTCCCTTCAGATGGAGGGAGATATGGATTCCAAGCAACCCATCTGTTTAAACTGTGCTCTGTACATAGAGTTTTACTGGAGAGCTCTAGTATGCCTGACTTGCAAATTTGCCAAATAGCAGCAATGGAAGATAAAGGTCAACTCATCAAAGTACTTGGTTCCAAATGAGGAATATGCTGTAGGTTTAGAAAATAATCTTAGTAAAGGAGAAAGGATTTTAGAGCTAACGAGGCACAGAGCTCTCTCTGTCATTTTTATGAACTCCACGTAGCAACACATTTCTTTTTGGAACATCTGCCACCTGGGGTTGCCATGTAAAGTGAGAGTTATAGTTGTGATATTCTTGTGTTTGTAGTTCAGAAGACTCTACTAATATGCAAAAAGCCTTACAGCTTTCAATTGCTGGCAACTACTGTTTAACAAATAATTAAATCTGTGATAATGGATGGAAATGGGTGGGATTATGTAACTGTAGATGTTTTAGAAAAATAATTGTGAATGAATTATGATTAAGAGTGTTTCATGTGAAGATGTTTGAGCCATTTCTATCTATCATGCATTCCTGTCTCAAGGCAGAAAATTTTGAAGATAAAAAAAATAAAATAATCAAAATAATATATCGCAGTGTCTTTCTCCTTATCTGTTCTGGTTCCTTCTGTATATAACTTAGGTGGATGCTGTGATGGCAGTTGCGGTGTCTGGGTCTGTCATTTTGGAAGAACCTTTTTAACTTGTGCTTTTTTGATAACCTCCCAGACTGCCTAAAAATAAGTTAATTCAGCATCATGAATAATGCTGGCACTCCTAAATATTGATCTTGTTTACTTTTTGAAAGTTTTGTGACATTTCCCTCTTCCATCTTTGATTAATAGCCTACTAGCATTATCCTACTGTAGCTAACTGATGGGCAGCAGGGGATTACAAATAGGTATTTGTCCTGATGCGAAGTGCAGCCTACCTTCCGGGGTTCTGCCAGGAGCTTTCTTCTGGAAGTCATGTGAAACGTACAAGCTTATTTTGGATATAACGTGTTAAATACCGTGATGCTTCCACATTCCTGATAGTCTCTGTCCAGTTGCAGATGCAGAAGGTCACGATACGCTTAATATATTCCTTGTGAAAGATTCTCAGTCTTTTTTAAAAGGCTTTGAATAATCTCCATTTCTTGCAGCTGGTTTCCGCCCTTCACAAAATGGGGGAGGGTGGGGTGGAGAAGAAAGAAACCTCCAAAACAGACAAATACCTCATGTTTATCCTCGCTTAAAGGAAGAACAAACAGAAAAACATCACTGCCACCCCCTGAGTTTGACTGGAAACCTCAACGACTCTTCTCTTCCACCAAATTGTCAGGAGAATGCTGCTGTTCTAACTTGAGCAACAAGCAGACGTCCTAAGGTCATGCTGTGCTGTTTCCAGCACACCTGCAACATCATGTACCACTTTGCACTGGGGCAGCTGTGCAGTGGTGTGCTTTTCTAGGCTCTGCTCCCTTTCTCTCCAAATTCAGCCCGAGGCTTTTGCTACCTCTTCTCCTGGGATGCTCTGTAAGGCAGGAGTCCTCCTGAAGAGCAGGTAAGCTGGTCCTCTGTGAGCCTCCCTCATGGTGGAGGCAGGGTAGGGCTCCAAGTGCCCCTTCTCATTTGGGACAGCAGCATCTGCTGCCAGCTTAAGAGGCTGCAGCGACGGTGTTTGTCGTGTGGAGCTGAAGTTCAGGGTGGTAGCTCCACTGAAGGCATAAAGCTATAACCACATCCCATTTTACATGATTGAAACTTTAAATTCAAATTCTTCATTAAAATGTTTAAGTTGCATAGTAAATGTTGAATGTTAGGAAATGCCAGGCTTATGGATTCTTGCGCTACATGTCCATGTTGTGTGCATGTCATACAAAGTGATACTAATTGGGTTTTACATATAAAGGGCACTGTTCAGGACCAAAAACCTTGGGGTTTTTTGCCCCCCATAGAAGTTCCAGGATAGGTGAGGAAGAGGCTGGAGGTGTGGATGGGTAATGATGAACCAAGCGTTTCTTAGGTTTGATCTTACTGTAATTCTCATTATAAATAACAAGTACTAGTTTTTGCATATGATGCCTGTTAAGTCCCAGCCTCTTATCTTTTTTTAATTATCCCCAGAATGCATAGATTCTGGCCTTGTCTCTGAAAACAAGGCAGAAATTAAAATTTGATTGTTATATTGATTACAGTCTACACTGAACAGTATGTTGTATTTTCTATTTTGTGCTTCACCCCATAAGATGTTACACCCGCTTATATTTCCTTCAGTTCAGTGCAGGATTTCAACTGAATCGGGATAAAAATAAGTAGAATGTCCTTGTGAAATTTAAGCTTGGCCAGAGCCAAACAAACAACAAATTCTCCTTTCCGCTGCCTCATGTCAATAAAATGTTGGTTCCTGGCAATGAAAGGATTAATATTACATGAGGTGGATTTTATTTGCGCGATATTTGTGCTGCTTGTTTGCTTTCCTTCTGAGCAAGTCCGAGCCCATTGCCTAATCTTTATTTCTGACAGATGTTTTATGTACAAATACTTTAATCAACTGAGAATGAAAAACTGCTTACAGTAGGATTATACAATTTAGAAGACTGGGCACTGTACGCATTTTAATGCATTTAACGTACGTGGTGGTGTCTTTGCATACACGTATACAAGCATCAAACCAATACGGCTGCTCAAGGCCGTGTTGGTTTTTTTTTTGTTTGAAAGAGAAACGTGGATGACTTCACGCCATAGTGAATTAAGAAGGCTTAGGAGCACGGAAAAAAGGCGTTCCCAGCAGGACGGCAAGGCGAGAGGACTGGTTTCAGGCAAGAGGACTTGGGAGAGGAGGCACAGTGGTGGGACGGCGGTTGTACCGGAGCTGCGTTTCCTAGGATGGGTCCCCGGTACCTTCCTGTGTGGGTCTGGCTGATCCCCTCTGTCGGGATGGGCTAAGTGGAAGCTCCTCACACATCCTCTAAAGGTTAAAGTTTCCTAAGCAATATTTCACAAATGCAAGACGTTTTCAGATAAATGAAAAGCCCCTTCAGAGGTCTGCTAACCTCATTACCTTAAACTTGCTCAGTTACCTTAAACTGAGCGTAGGCCTCAGATTCCTCTTTAAAAAGAGAGAAAAACTTAAAATTGGGAAGCTCGGCTGCCTTCTGGCATGGCTGAGCGTGTCACAGGAGCCGCTGGGAGGGGAGGAGGGATGAAATGCCCGGTTGAGGAGAGACTCCAGAGGGATGGATTCTTGTTGCCATTGAAAAAGGCGGGGAAAAACCAAACTAAAACAAAAACCTCCTGATACTGTACTTAAAACACTGTGTCAAAATGACTAAACTGATTTTAAGGAAAGAAGGGGACATTATCACGGGAAAATTAAAAAAAAAGAAAGAGAAATTAACTCTTTTCTCTGCCCCCCCCATCCAAAATTGCCCTCTGATAGGTTTTGTGTGTATGCTAAAACCTACAAGAGCTTTCACTTCTTCTGTTAGAAGTATTGGGTGGTTACAGGGTGGTTTTGAGAAACAGCAAGTTTGTGGAGATTTTGGCCGGGTTTTATTTTTAATAAGCTATTCTAGAAAACTCTTTTTTTTCCAGAAAGTTTTACTAACAAACCGAAATCTGGAAAGAGTCTACTACATCTTCAAGGGATATGTGTGTCCTTTTGATTTAAGTGGTGGGTTTTACAGCCCAGTATCCCCTTCAGAAGGGGACCTGTGGGCACTTCCCAGCTCTCACCAGACAAGTGATCTCCTACACAGTCCGCAAGGTCCGTGCCTTGTTAGCAGCCTCTGCTGCGTACCTCTGTGTATGTCACGTTATTTTGCTCTCCGATGACCACCACGCTTTGTTGGTTCTTTGGGACTGCTGTAAAAAATACTTTCTACTTAAAGACTGTCTGAATTATAGTCAGTTACGTTGTCCCCCCTTTATTTTTTGATAAAGTGCCTGTTTGATAAAGTTGCTGTTTCTACAACATGCTTTTGTATGGTGAGCCAAATAAGTGCTCCAGATACCTCTTGCAGATACTGTATTCCCTATTGCGGGATGTTTCAGCAATTCGATGTTTCTGTGATGCATCACTTGTTTCGCAAGCTGACCTTGCTCTGAATCCTCCCTTGCCGCGCAGTCCACTCTTCGTCCTGTGTACATCATTGCCCTCCCAGGCTAAAAGCAAGAGGTGACATTTGCTTTTAATGCTGCTTCAGAATTTATTTCAGCTTCCTTTAAATACCCTGTCTTGTCATTCCAGTTGGTGTCTGTGTATGTCCCCGTCCCCTTTTTTCCCTCCCACAGCTCTCAAATAAGAGATCAGTCCTTGCACCGG